CATAAATTAAATTATGAAAAAATTGAATTAAAAATTACACAAAAAATGAGGAATTTCAAATAGTTAATTTGATATTAATATCGATATATTTTTGTAAAAATTTTATGATATCTTCAAACATATATTTTATTCAAAAATAAAAACATCATCGCTTTCTCAAAATTACATAAAGCCATATTATAACATCGACCGAGATAAAGAATAAAATGAAATATTAAAATCACGATGTATCGGGGATGGGGACGATGATCCCCGTTTGTCTCAAACCGGGGATGGGGACGGGTATCGTCCGCCCCTACCTGCCCCGCCCCGCCCCGTACCCGTTATGTATATTAATTAATAAATTTTATATATATATATACATATATATTATTTATTTCAACTAAAGCGGTAATTTATAATTTCCTATTTCCTAATTAGGTTGATAATCTAAAATTGTTATTATTTAAATGTTAATATGTAATATTTTGGATGTAAGTCAAAATACAATTATTCGATATGGTTTTATATTACTCAATATCTTTTTGTACATGTGACTTTAAGTTTTTTTTGGATTAAATTGATTTTTTTTTGGTTTTAGGTTATTAATTCTTATATGATGTTGTGGTTTTTTTTATTAAATTAAATTCATTTTGGTTTTAGGTTTATTGAAAATGTTTGAGATTTAAACATGTATGGTCTCTCACGTATTTAATTTAAAATAAGTTACATAAACGAGAAAAAAATTCCCGTTCCCCGTTGGGAATGGGGATGGGGATGTGATTATATTCCCCCGCAGGGATGGGGACGGGAACGGGGACGGGGATAGAGATAAGTAATCGGGGACGGGGACGAGGATTGAGTTCCCTGCCCCATCCCCGCCCCATTCCCATGCCTATATATCGATAAACAATATTGTCAAGAGGGGATTAGACAAGTTTAGATTTYCCCAGAGTATCGTATCCCTAAATCAGTAAATCTTTATTCTGATATCAAAGTATCGTGTCCCTAAATCAGTAAATCTTTATTCTGATATCCTATGAAAAATGTGGAACATAGAGTATTCTTTAAAAGAGTTCTTAAAGAGAGAAAGATGTTCCAACATATCTCAAGGAGAAATTGCACAGATTTAACCAATGTGGGGTTCCAACGGGTATCAATCAAACGAAGCTATAAAAGATGTAAATAGTACAAGTACTTTCGGTTTAACCAATGCCTGCATGACATGCTGGATCGAGTTTTTGTCGATTCGAGACTAAAGATCAACATATTAAAGCCACTGTAGTTTTTTTTTAGTTCGTTATGATTGACTATACCAAAAGCAGAAATCAAGTTAACATTTAGAACACGTCTCATGAACGTGCACGTGCTTCGTTTATATATTATAAATTCAACGATACAAATAAAATACTGGACTTTTGGAAAAATGGTTGATTCTTAGTTAGATATTACTAATAATTGAAGCAATTTTAATATGTTTAATTATAATTATTTTATTTATTAAAAAACAACAAGATAATGACATTTGATAAAATGGAGTCTTTTTTCTCCCTTTCTCTTAATCATACATTTTAAAAATTAAGACCAATATTATTTTATATTTAAAAATTAAGACCAGACTTGGGATCATGTGAGACTAAAAGTTTTTCGTGAGACCCGTAAGACCAATTCTCAACCTCTGGATTACATCTACAATCTGAACATTCATAATTACAAAATTACCATGAGACTTCTCAATAATCACAAAATTGCCGTCGTGCAACTTTAGACCATTAGATCATTAACTTATAAAGTTGATCAATGAACATAAATTGGTCTTACGAGTCTCACGACAAACCTTTGGTCTCACTTGAACCCAACCCGTTAAGACCATTATTAATTAGCTTAAGAGACTTTACTTATACAAAAGTGTATTATTATAAGTTAATGCTAAACACATGCTTAATTCATCTTGCCAATTGATGCTGCCTTTACGCATTAAGCCTGGCTTTTTTCTTCCAAAAATATCATATTTTTCTTCTCTTTTTTAGTTTTTCCATTTGGTTAATAATAATTAATAAAATTAGTAATAATCATGAATATAACCGAAAGAAAATGATAAAGAAAACTTATTTAAGTTATTGAAATACTAGAAGAGTACTCACGCAATACAGCGAGATACATCTTGATTTTAATATATTTTTTTTTTATCTCAATCGATGTTATAATATGATCTTATGTGATTTTGAAAAAACGATGATGTTTTTATTTTTGAATAAAATATAAATTTGAAGATATCATAAAAAATTGTGAAGGTTAAAATTGTAATTTATGTCATTTCCACCGTTCATTAAACACAAACAACAAAAAAATTAGGTGTTATTCGGTTTAGACTATAATATAAAAACTAGTTGGATACCCGTGCAATGCGGCGGGATGCGAATGTTTTTTTGTAAATCGAAGTATGACGTTTATGATCATTATAAACTTCAAATTTTATTACGGTTGATTGAACGAAGATTTGAAAAGAGAATTGCACGATTAACGGATTTCCAAACACACATCAATTGTTATTCTTAGATTGTTTAATAATGATTTTCACTTAATGCAATTCATGATCAACAAAAAAAAATCATGTTTAAACAAAACAGAGATACACACCTACATTAGGAATGGTCTGTCCTTGAGAAGATACCACTTGAAGCATCCATATGTTAAATATACCCTGTAAGAAATGTCTTATGATTATAATATAGTATAGATATCAAGCGTAGTTGTAAAAAATGTGTAATAGTAAGTACTCGTTTGTACCTTATTAATCGCGTAAAACTTCTTGATACACCACGTTTGATGTGTAAACTCCGTCACGATTGAAATTTTTGGCAGACTTTACTAATACCTTTGTATTTTCACGTGATGTCCCTCTTGATAACGCCACATAAAGTTGTCCGTGAGAGAATACTGATTCCGATAGATACACACCTACATTAGGAATGGTCTGTCCTTGAGCTTTATTGATTGTCATAGAAAAGCTAAGCCGGACTGGAAACTGTTTTTTCTTCAATTTGAAGGGGAACATGTTATCTTCAAATGGACAAAGAGGAATTATCGGCAAAAATACTCTCTTTCCAGCATGCTGACCAACAGCTATTTCTGCATCGATTACGTTATGTTGAAAACCTCTACTTATCAATCTTGTTCCATTACATAAGCCATTAGAGGGATCGATATTCCGCAATAGCATTATTGGGCATCCAATTTTGAGCCGGAGGTAATGCGGGGGCAAACCCCTGACAGTCAGCGAGTTTAAGAACTCCATTGGATAGAAGTTATTTATGTCATCTTCTGCTTCATCAAAACTGTAGTAAACTTTTTCATCGCCGCAGAATCTATCAATCAGCTGATCATTAATTTCATCGACATTTTCATTTTTTGTTGATAATATCGCCCTTGAAACAATATAGTTTGAATCTGCTTCGTTGATTTGCAGAGATGGAAATATTGCGTCAATCAAATCATGCTTTGATTTATCTTTATCAGCATAGGCAATGGCCATGTCATCGGGAATACGTATAAAGCTTTCTTCCATCATTTCTTCATCTCCATCACCCACTCGTAATAGAAAATCTGAAAACCATGGATCACTTCGTGCTCTCATATTGAGAGTTAAACGTATTTTTTTAATTGAAGACCAAAGAGGTGACATTCGTAGGCTTGAATCTACAATCTGTGCTCGGGTTCCACGTCTCACGACCGGTAAGACCTGTCTAAAATCACCTCCCATAACCATTATTTTTCCACCGAATGGTAGTGTCACCCCTGTGATGTCTTGCATTGTTCGATCAAGCGCCTCCACCGTCTGCCTCTTAGCCATTGATGCTTCATCCCAAATGATTATCTTTGCATCCCGTAGCAATTTAGCAGTCCCGCTTTGTTTTTTTATGTTGCGCATGGAGTTGTTATCATGATTAAGGGAAATTTTAAATCGGGAGTGAGCTGTTCTCCCCTCAAGCATATTATTAGCTGCAACACCTGAAGAAGCAGTGGCAAGAGCAATGAGACCACGAGAACGAATGTTGGCAAGCAATGCTTTGTACAAATACGTTTTTCCAGTCCCCCAGACCATGTGTGAAGAATATTCCTGAACGATCATCGTCTACGTGCTTCATGATCTCATCATATGCGTATTTTTGGTCGAAATTAAGGGATTCTCGGGCACGTAAATGTTCGTCTTCCACAACTATGGAGTATTCCTCTTGTACCTCACGAAAACTTTCAAATTGTAAGTTAGTATCTACATTTATCTTTGGAAGATCGAAATCATCAAGATTTTTACCCATAGATTGTAGAAAATTGGTGATGTCAGTTAGGACCATATTCCGAACTCGGTCAACACTTTCGCATTGTCGTCTATAATCTTCTGAAAATGAATCGTAATGATGATCCCACAACTTGCGAACATCTCCTGGCTCACAATAAATTAATATTGCCGCAAATAGCCTCCTCAGAGCTTTGGGAAACTGAAATAAAGAAGCATCTACAAGACATTGTGATAAGTTATCGTCTGTCTCTATTAAGCCTCTCTCAAGTGGTGCTTTCCGGAATGTCGGGTATAATATGCCATTGACTGTGAATAGATCTTTAAAAGATGTAGGCCCACTAATATGAGATAAAAGTAGGCGTAGCTAGTACCGCTCTCCTTCGGCGGGATTAGCATAAACCAATCGTCCTATCATTGATCCTTGTTTTCTCTGATTCCAACGACGTGCGCTCGCATTCCATGTGTAATGTTTTGGAAAGTCTTTATATAAATGTTGTCTTGCATTCTCGTCTTCTTTATTTTTGTCGAAAAATGCAGTCAACATTGTTCATTTACCACTCTCTCTAGCAACAATATCTGTCATTACATCATCATCTCTGAACCTAACCATCTGCCTATTAGAGAGATGGATTTGCAAAGCCATCACATAAGGTTGAATTTGAGAAAGCGCAAAGCTAAAAATCCACCACATTGCCTTCGGGGGAAGACATAACGCGCATCTTGAAACCTTTTAATCTCATTAATGACACTCTGTCCTTCGTCTGGATCTATATGCATAACTTGTTTATCATGACCCTTGTAAATATATTTGAAGAGATATTTCACAGATGTTATACTTGAGCAAGCCTCAACATTAATATGACAGTTGAACATCATTAACAATTTTGGGTTATACGGGACAACCCATCTATTATCCAGTGTATTGCCTCATACATTCACATCTCTTCCAATATTTCTCCTCCGGTATAACAGATATGAGTTCTCAGCCTGTGATGTCTTATCGTTAAATTGTCTAGGATATCTAAAACGACAGATTTTCGGCTCACCTTGCATGCAAGGACTGGACGGTCGTAAATGACCGCAAGGACCATGCATCATGTGTTGGACAACCAACTGGTGCATTTCAGGATATTTTGCTGAGTCAGGAATTTCAGCACATACAATCTTGTCGTAATGATCTGGATTGGTCATTTTGTCATCAGGTATCATTATCATGAGGAAATGTGCATGCGGCAATCCATGCTTCTGAAACTCGATGACATAAACATATGCCTTGACAGTGCCGAGGATCTTCTTTTGGAAGAGTTGGTCCTTGAGATCCTCTAATTTGGCACGAAAAATTCTTGCAACAAGGTCTGGTCGATCTTGTGCAGTCTGACCGGGCAATAGCTCTTTAAG